AGGGGATCAGGAGTATCATAATCGTTTAACTTTTGAAAATATAAATTTTGAATCATTAGCAAATTAACGTGTTGCTGTAATTTACTTTTAGATAAACGTAACGGAGTTATATTAAATTTTTTTCCAATAAGTTCCAAACCATAAACATTTATTGAAATATTATTTAATTTTTCAAACACTGCTATTTTATTAAATTTAATTGGAATTTCAAGTCCTTCCAAATTTAAAACTTGACTATAATGTGGATACGAACTGATCCGATTAACGGATTGATTTGCTGGATGTAATGCACTGACTATGCTCCAGTAAAAACAAGCTTCATCAAAATTTCTAACGTTTACACAAGCTTTTTTAGTAATAATTTGTTGAGGTAATTGAATATAACTTGATCCATTTCCAATTTCATACTTATTAATATTAATCTCTAAAGAAATTACTTTACTTAATGCCCAACCTGAATCACGTTCTTGAAACTCTGATAATTTGTTTAAAATAAAATCAACTATGTATTCATAAAACCATTCATTTAAATTAGTAGATTTATCAATGATTGCATATGGTGTGTGAAAATATTTAAAATCTATCGTTTCTTCATCATCTACTGTTTTTTTTATAAACTTGCCACAAAAGGTACTGTTAACCTTAATTATGTTAAATCTAGATAAAATTGACAAAATTTTGGTTTTAAATAAAGACATAGCATCATTTAAAAACTGTAAAACATCTTTATGTTTTAAATTTACTATGACGCCACTTTTAATCCTTCCATGATAAACTGTGGCTAAATCTTCCCATTTAATTGTATAATTATTATCTTTTAATTCTTTAAGCTTATTATAAACAACTGTTAAATGACTTAATTTTGTTTGCCACATGCGGATATTTCCGATTTCAAAATTTTTTGTTTTTAATGCTTTAAAACATAAACTAATTGCAATATCAACATGTTTAAGCCATGATTCAATTTCCTCAACAGTAAAATCATAATTTTTTTCATAAAACTTTTTAACTAGTTTGTTCACATCATTAGCAAGCCTTTCTGACATTTTAAACTAACACTCACCTTAAGATTTTATAAATTTAAATAAAGCTGCCGGATTGCCTTTGCCTGTGTCCTTTTCTCCAATAAATACTAGCGAATACCTTCCATTTCCCAATTCCAAAATATGATTTTTAAGCACCTCGGTAGATCTAGGTGGTAAAAATACAACCTTATCATCCAGTTCCAAAACAACAGAATCTCCGAATTTCGATGCAGTCACCTTGGCTTCAGAAATTTTGTATGGAGTATTTATTTGAAGTTTATTTAACTTTATAATAGGTTTGCGTTGTCCTTCTAAAAGAAGAAACTCATTTAGTGCTTCTAAATCCATTTTTTCTGAAAGCGTATCATAAATTACTAAACTGTTAAGACTTAAAACACTTAACTTACCGTTAAATAACACACCGAGTTAAATTTAAATATTACTGACTGAGATACTTAACGTAATGTAATGCTTTCAGTGAGGACTTTCAACTTAATCTAAAACGCTGTTGATTCAGCCTTTTATAGCAAATCTCACAACACATGTCAAGGATATTGACCTTGACCTCAATATTGACCTTTACATTGACCTCTACATTGACCTTGACTTTAGCATTTACCTTTGACCTTTATGTTGACTTTGATTACGATACTACTTTGACCTTTCAATCCCCACCATTCAACATTTATGCTAAGATTCCCTCTATTTGCTTTTGTATAAATTTTCTTATCTTTCTAATTACACATTTTTAATATGAATCACCCTATTCGAGATAATATTTTAATAGCTTATAAGAATAGACATTTATGTAAGCACCAAACTATTTAGCTACGGAAGGGGAAGCACAAGTGAATAGAGCAGAGTCTTAGGTTGTCTGAACGAAACAATATGGAGAAATAAAAATATTGGGAAAGATGTGAAAAGCAGGATTTACAAAACAGTCATCAGACCAATAATGATATGTGCGACAGAAACATGACCTGACAAGAAAAGACCACGAATACGGCTTACGGAAGGCTCACTGAAAACAGATAGAGTCATATATACATAAAAGAAGAAGAATTTCTAAAAAACATTAATTGAATTGCCTTGTATATTTTAAAAAGTATTGTTTTACATTCCTAAAAGTTTTATATAAACGTCTTTAATTTGAATCACTCTGTAAGATAATAATTTGAATAACTTAGAGGTACTCTCAACTTTTATTGTCTAGTAAATGTTAAAAACTATTATTTGTATCAATAAAGTCCTAAAAAATTTTCATAATTATACATCTTTCATTTACATTACTCTGCAAGATATTAATTTGATTAATTTATATATAAATTTAATTTTAATTACCTTGTATATTTTAAAAACTATTATTTCTATCAGTGAAAGTCTAAGAATTTTTCATTTTTTTTAAATTTGATATTAATATACATTTTCGATTTAAATCACCCTATATTTTCAAGTTAACCTTTCCATCGCATATCGGTCCCCTGGTTGAGTAAATCAAGAATTCCTTAGTTGATGCGGTCGATTGTCTTGAACGTAAAATGTGTTTCTGATAGTCATTGACCTAACACTAATAAATTTAATTTTATGTAAGACATATATGGTATTAGGTGTCTATGGAAAGCTGATTTTTTTTTCTTAATTACAATTTATATATATTTTTTAGAACGCCGTTTTATGCTTTGAAGATAACGCTTTAAACTAAATTTATTTGCATCAGGCCAGTTACGCGAATACAAATCTATTGCGATTTTAACAAAGGATGACTAGTGGTCATTGACTAGAATCTTAAAAATTCAATTTCTTTTCAAATATACATATATACTTTTCGATGTAAATATTGCTGTAAAATAAAACAGTTGCATTGATTTTGGATTGCTTTTCTTTTGAATTCTTATTTGCAGTCAATGTTTTCTGAAAGTGTATTCAATTAAATTTTTATTCTTGTTACTAGACCTTGGTACTTGTGGTCCTTTATAGTTTATTTTATTTTTAAAAATAAGCAGTTCTTGTTTGCAATTTCGTATTTAATTTTTTATTCTTGGTAAAAGTTACTAAACCTTGGTACTTGTCGTCCTTTATAGTACATTTTATTTTTAAAAATAAGTAGATCTTGTTTGCAATTTTTCTCTTTGGTTGGGTGTATATATATATTGGAAGAGAGGTGCATTTACACTATCAGTCTTCGAATAAAATTGAATACTACAAAACAACTACAAACAACAAAATGCCTAAAAATTTAAAAATTCATCAAAACATCGTTGTAAAGAAAGCTAAATTAGATAAAGTTATGCCAGAACTAAAACTGCTGGAGAGTCAACACCAAAAAAAAGCTGTAAGTGTTTTATTATTTTTATATATTATTATTAGATATTATTTTTTTAACTCGCATAAAATAAACCTAAATTGTTTAAACATTCTGTTTTCTATATTGTGGATTTATTTTTTTAAGTTACTTTTTATCTTACTTAAAATCTATATGTTATTATTCGGACGCTATATTAAATTGTTTTAAACATTCTATCTTTCGATTCCATTTTCTAATTAATTATTTCGTAAGTAAAATTGCAAATTTGTAAAATTATGTTGTTGTAAAATCTATTCAAAAGTTTAAATTGTTGGAAACATTCTGTTTTTTAAATAAATTATTATTCTAATATACTTTTTTGTCTTAGATCGATCTCACATTAGAAGACGATATGCTAAATGATATTTTAAAGACAATTGATGTATTGCAGCCTCCAGTAGCAGCTTCAACAACGGAAGACTGGACTGTAAATAGAATAAATAACTTTTCAAAAAGCTTAGAGGATGAATATACAATTATTTACGGTCAGTTTCAGTCTTTTAGTATTTTGAAAGAAAGACTTAGAAGCTGCCAACTGGAGCATGAAGCGATTTTAAAAGAAGAGAAGAAAATTGAGAACGATGCCAAAGAAAATAAAAAAAAGAAAACAAATTCGGAAACATTAATGCAAAATATAAAGGAAGATATGACTAAAATTTTTAGTTCTTTTAAAAAATAATGTATTTTTTAAAAGAACTAAAATAAGTAATTTATGTATGTATATAGTAATTTATTTTTAGTTTTTAGTAATATTTAGTAGTAATAATAGTTTTTAAGTTTCTAAAAATAAAATTTATCTTTCTATATCTTTTTTTATTTATTAATTAAGTAGAAATTACGCAAATTGGTTTTATTGGTTAAAATCATATTATAGTTAACTATCTTAAATGGAAAATAAGTCACAATTTTATTTAAAATAGTTAACTATAAGAATATAATTTCAAATATTATTAAAATCATACTAATTAAATAAATCGTATGTGTTTATATACCTACTGGTAGTTAAAGAATGTGGAAGCGTAAAACAAATTTATGCTCTGCTTGATGTTTAAGAACATTAACAGGTTAATAACAATGGAGTGTTGTGACAAAGCAAAATTAATGGTTCAACATCCGCGAAAACCTTTGTACAAGTTTACAGAAGCAGAATTAGAAAATTTTATCCTACCATACTTTAGAAAATGTGTGGAATCGGTGGAATTACTACGATCTTGGTATAAATTACCCACAAAAGCTGTTCAAGATTTTGAAGTTCAGACTCGTCTGCCATGTTTTGTGCATTTTAATCGTCCTGAGTGGAGAACAGAGCTTGAAGGTTCAGCACCGGCACAATCCAGTTGTCATTTGTGTAAGTCTGCGCTTGAAAATTTAAAAAACATGTATAACAGTGTAATAAATAATTAAGAAGGTATTATTTTTTTATTAAGAGTTTTATTATACTAATAACCTTTCCTAACATTAGCTGTCACCGTGACTTGGAACTAGGTCATGACATGACCTTTAATGTCATTCACGTGACCTTGAACTTGATTTTTGCGTTACCTTGCGCTTTACCTTATCTTTACCTTACCTTTTTGCGTTACCTTACACTTTACCTTTGCGTGACCTTTAACTTGACCTTGACCTTGACCTCAAACTTGACCTTGACCTCGACCTTGACCCTGACCTTGACATTGACCTTGACGTTGACCTTGACATTGACCTTGACGTTGACCTTGACCTCGACCTTGACATCGACCTTGACATCGACCTTGACCTCGACCTCGACCTTGACCTCGACCTCGACCTCGACCCTGACCTTGACCTTGACCTCGACCTCGACCTTGACCTCGACCTCGACTTTGACCTCGACCTCGACCTCGACCTTGACCTCGACCTTGACCTCGACCTCGACCTTGACCTTGACCTTGACCTTGACCTTGACCTCGACCTCGACCTCGACCTTGACCTCGACCTTGACCTTGACCTCGACCTTGACCTCGACCTCGACCTCGACCTTGACCTCGACCTTGACCTTGACCTCGACCTTGATTGGAACCGGTTTCTCCCACCACAAAGTGCACCAGGAATGGTATAGAGTATCTACTGCACTCATTATCACTAAAACGTCAGTTTAAGTGAAAATAATAAAGGGTCAAGAAAATACGTATTTTAGATTTCTCCGCAAATTTACAAATTTTGTGCAGTAATTATTAACATCCGTAATCTTTCGATAAAGATGTTATTAGAGACATGGAGAATCTAATTTTTGCATTCCACGACATATCTCCTCAACTAAGCAAAAATCCTTAGCGAATTGATTTCTTGTACTCGTTCAGAGTAATCGAAATAAAAAAGGAAAGACAGTTAAGATTTAATTTCACGTATAGTGCCTCTATGTAGCCGCGTATAAGTATTTCGGCCTAATAGGCTTCGTCAGAACGGCAATTCATAGTCGCTCTGAACGTGAAAATAAATCTCTTCTGTCTTAGGAAGATTCCCCATGTCTCTAAACATATATGGATTCATATATGTATTCTTTTAATTAAACTTTTTTATTAAAGGATAAAGCAACAAGATCATTGTTTCCTTCTAGATATATTTAGTGGTATTCAGTACGTATTTCTTTTTGTCTATCACAACCCACGATTTATCAAAAGGCTAATAATGAAGGAAAAAGAGTATTAAATAACTGCCTCTAATTTTTGTATCGATTAGCACGTAGTTACGTGCCGTTGGTGTTTCATTAGGGGTTTTATTCAAGCCACCGGTCACGGATAACTACGATACGACGCTAAATCTTTCTTTCCTACATTAATTATATCCCCTCTGACACGGAAACTCGGAGAGGTAGCGTGCGTTCGTGTTTTCCGACCAACCTATATCTTGGAAAACTTCCAACGTAGGAAAATCGTAGTTCGGTAGCTTAATGAATACGCTGGCTAAACAGTATGTGAGGGCACGAAGGATATAACGGGAGGGACGTGATTTAAATCAAGAGTTTTATCTTGTTTTAATAATCGTAAAAAGTTGTTACCTTTTCAGAAGAGAGAGGTTCTATACAACTATAAATTTTAAATAGACGTTAAATTATTAATGACTTTGAGAAAGAAAGGCAAAAGAAATTTATTTTGTACCATGTATTACATATTCTATTTTATTAACTTAAATTTTTTTAATTAAATTTTTAATTTTTATTAACTTAAACACAGGAGATTGTCGTATTTTTCTCATTTTTACCTTGACACTGGAAAATTATTTATACTGAATTGTCTGTAGAGCATTTTAGTGATGGTAAATAGTTATTGGTAAGTTAAGTTACACTTTTCACGAAAAGGAAGCAGTCCAAGCCAATTAAACACAAATGAAAATTAGATGTTAAGAATTATTTTTCGGATAAGAACAATTTCGAATGACGCAGTCCTGAATACGGGCGTTTCCAGGAATGACCAATACAGTGAGAACATTAGGCCATGTGCCTGATATACAAGATATTTGGCCATTGTTTGTGGATTCTGTAATGATTCGACAAACTGTCGACCAACATAAAACTTGCAAACATACTGTAAGAAGTAACAATTATAGTTTCACTGATGAAAAGGAAATAAGGGCTTTAATGGGACTATCTATAGGACTGCAATTTATAAATTGAATCGGGAAAGTATTCGTTCGGTATTTTCTACCAAGCCTACTGGTCGCTCAATTTTTCGATCAATAACGTCGAACCTGTCGCATCTTTTTAAAATTCTAAGGACAAACCTTAAAAGTTTTATGAGAAAGTAGTTTTGTTTATTTATTAATATCTGTCAAAATCATGACATCATCTACATTTTCTTACTTAGTACTTTCCTAGAAACAACTCTGCAGTAAAATTAATTGTTTATTTTGTTATTATTATAAAAATTACAATACAATAAATACACTGCAACATAATTCAATATAATAATACAATATAAATTACAATGCAATATTTATAAGTATTTAAAACTGCCAATATACATAACTTACTTTACAAAAATAAAAATAAAAAACCAACAACTCGGATTATGTTGTAAATTTTCATTTTATTTTAAAATTTTGCATTTTTGCGTATATTACATATATTTAATAAGATTAACGTGACGTTTTTAAATATTTCAAAAATAAAACGAAAATTCATATTGGGATTCGAACTCACACACACCAGCGTATGAACCAAATACGTAAAGGATTTGCCAATTAGACATGACACTAACGGATTTTAAAATTGACAGTTCTCGGTCAAACAGTGATTATTTTGAAATACAAAAACCTAAAATAATTATAAACGTTTAATAAATAATACAAAACATATCACATAAATCACAATATATATATATATATATATATATATATATATATATATATATTATACATATATATAATATTATATATATAATATATATATATATATATATATATATATATATATATATATATATATATATATTATATATATATATATATAATATTATATATATAATATATATTGTTATGCTATTTAAATTGTATTCTATTGCTTATTTAGAAAAGATCCTGTCTATATTTATTAAATGATCTAATCTCCAATTAATCACAATAAATCAGCATTAATTAATTACAATCTCAGGATATTTAACTTGTACTATTTACCTTTGATCGTGGATTCAAAATATTTTCCAATTGGCTTCCTAATTGGGATAGGTAATATGACCTGAATAAAATACACAGAATTTCAACTGAAGTATATGTGAGATGTCCTTTATTTTATTGAAATTTTATATAACAATCAATCCGGTAATATTTGCAATACAATACTTTAAATATATGAGAAGTTGTTTTCTATCATGGACCCAAATGTTATTTTACATTGATTTTTAATATGTGTTATAACTAAGCTCTCTTTATAATTTTTTCTTTTTTAAATGATCGCAAAATTAACTGTCTCTATAATTTATTCAATTTATTTAATTTATAAATGAAAACCACACTCCTGCTCTAATGAAAATTGACTGACCTTTCGTTATCTGCCGTTGCAATTCTATGGCCACGCCATAAAAAAAAAACCTTTCTCTGCTTCTGCTCCTATTTTGGTCCAGAAGACGTACACCTTTCTCCTCTCTGTCCTTGTATCTGCAACCCAACAACTCGTGTAATTCTATGCAGCCTCCTTTTGAACCAATCTCCGCGCCTGTTTATAACTTCAAATGTTTCCGGCTTCGTCTGCTATTAATATTCTTATAACCTTTTGGTTTTTCTATCTCTCTGTACCCCGTTCCTCACACTCATCAGCTTTTACACCGCAAATAAACACACCCGGTAAATTACGTCTTCGGGACTTCAAACAAACACAAACCACAAAGCTCCTTCCTTCTTGGGCGACGAAAACTGACTAACCCCTTTCCTCTCTCCTATCTCATAGCCAAAACCACCCCTCCTTGCATTCAAAAATTGACCAATAAAAATCTTCTACCTCTGTGACGTATATCGTTATCAACCAACTCTCTCTATTAAAACGTCATTCGGGTAATTCCAGAAAACAACATTCTTTAATTATTCTAACTAAATCTATCTGCTTTACAAATATTTCTTACTAATAGCTACAAACGATACCTGTTTCTCAATTCAATGTCTTTTGTTAAAAAACTTTTACCGATATAATCTTTCGGGGGGAAAAACCACCGCACATCCCGGTCTATTGTTTAAACACTTTCTATATACACTTTTATTACGGGTAAATCCATTTCACAATAACCGACTTATTTAAGTTTCTTATCGATAATATTTGAAAGTCTTGTCTCTGAGGCCTAATGAACAATTCTTTGAACAACTTAAAATACATATTTTGTCTTATACAGGATGTTTGAAAATTAATATGCCCGTGTCATTATGAAATATCAATAATTTTAATTTTTATTTAAGTAATAAAATTTGTATATCGGTTTTTTATTGCTAACAGACATTCAAAAGTACAACAAATCCCCGCCTTTGTAATCGATAAAATTTATCAATCTATGCAACTAAATTTTCTCGAGACAAACTAAAACGCACTTCCTGTATGCTAACTGTACTTATGCTACGTATTTGTGGCCACTCGGTTTTCCTTATTTATCAGCGTTTCATAGTCTCTTAAAATTTTACGCAAATCATTTTCTTTGCCTTCTCCACATATCCATTTTGTGTCTCTCCCATCAAATTCTTCGCACATATTCACCGTGTACTCCGTGTCTTTTTCAAACACCACTGTCTCCATTGTGTCCTCTTCATTTTCCTTTGTTTTTTCTTTTGTTTGGCTCGTCTCTTCTTTTGAGGAATCCCATATGTTCTTTTCAACTGAATCCTTTTCCTTTTCTTTCATTTCCTTTGTTTCTTCTTCTATTGGGCTCGTCTCTTCTTTTGAGGAATCCCAAGTTTTGCTTTCATTTCTTGTCAAAATCTTTCCATCTTCTTCTCCTGAGCTCGTCTCATCTTTTGAGGAATCCCAGGTTTTTTTTTCCCTGATTTTTTTCTGACCTTTTCCCCTCTTTCTTCCTTTTCCTTTCTTCATCACCAGGTTCATTTCCACCGTTTGTTCTTTCTCTGATTCGTCCGTAATTTGTTTCTCTTGTTCCTTATCCTGTTCTTCTTCTTTTTCCTTTGTTATTTTCATCGTATTGTTTTTGAAGTCGATCACTACATGTTTTTCCGTTAATTCGTCAACGCCTACAATCATGTCATGTGACATATTCGGCATTATTACACATTGAAGTGCATACATATTTTTTTTCAATCGTACCATTACTCGTATACCTTCATTTATTGTTGCCAATGTCCGTTTATTTGCGCCCACTAAATTCACCCTAGGTATTTTATAAATTAGACTTGTTAAATTTACTTCTTCGATTAATTTTCTGTTGACCAGTGTTATTTCAGAGCCTGTGTCTATCATAATTTTAATTGGTTTCTCATTTATAAATCCATCCACAAATTTTAAATTAACTCCATTTCTTTTTTCATTGTTTCCTGCCAGTTTAATAAATTCCTTGGGGTGACAAAAAATTCCTGTTTGTTTCTTCGTTTTTAGTGAGCGCCTTCTTGAAAACACGCCTGTTGTTCTTCTGTGTTTTCTCGCCCG